CGGGCATTAATCGGGAAGCGATCTTCGCACATCCGAAGTTTGATTAAGTACGAATATTCTTTTGTTACGCGATTTTGGTTAACGGACACGCTCGATGACATAGAATCTACGGCCCTCCAGCAAAAGTTATTTTTGGACGATGACGTCAGGGATGATCATGCGCAGTTCATTTAGCTCCTTCTGAGTTTTCAATCATGGCTTTGCCACGAGAAATCTCTAGATTGAAAGCGATCCTTTCTCCCGCGTGTAAAAGTCTTTTTGTTTTCAAAGGATTTGTCATTCAGTGTGTTAGATCATTAAGTCTGGATGAGCGGAAGGCTTTTCGGCACTGGTGTTTAGATATTATTCCTAGGTCGAAGTTAGATGTCGACTTAAGTGATGATGGTGAGATGTACAGGCTAATTGAGTTTCTTGGCAATGATGGTAAGCTTTCTTTTACCAATTTCTCACTGCTGAGAAACTTTTTATCGATTGTTCGTCGATTTGATATTCTTGAAGAGTTAGAACGGGTCGAGTTACGCATATGTGTTGCTAGTATTATGGAGGATTACATCGTCAAGTTTGTGTATGGTTTCCGAGAAGGTGTTTGTATCAAAATGGCTGGTAGATATACGAACATTGTAGAGTTTTTGCGTACCACAAGAGAAGGGAATCAGGAACTGATCTCTTCGATCCTGGAAGTATCGAGACAAGTTAACGACAGTAGTAAGATGTTGGAGGTTTTGGATAACATGATTCTGGATTTACAACTATCATGGTCTACGGTTATGTCTTCATTGGTGATTATGGGTGAGCTTTGTGCTTCGTTCAGTCCAGTCGATGTCGCAGAAAAAGGTTGCTATCTTTGTCTGTTGTCCGAGACCAGGGCCAGCGAGTTTCTAACAGTGTGGATGCTAGAAAATGGCGGTCTGGTAAGTAAACACACATTATCTCATATCTATGATCTTAAATGCCTTAAGTTGCTCTAATGTCTCAGTAATGCGATTGCTGCAACAATTTGCATCAATGCTAATACCCCTTGAAAACGTATAGTTATAGCTAGTTATGAAGCAAATACCAGATACAGTTACGTTTAATTACTGAATGATTCTTGGTTTAAAATGCTGAGTTTGTAGACGCTATAACGTTGAACTTTTAACTGGACTTGTCTTTTGAGCGTATTGTATTATTGTATGAAAGCTTATAACGGCAGCATTTAAGACACTCCATCACAATACTGTCTTGCTTGAAATCATTTTTTCTATCATTCATTAAATCGACTTGCCAGCTTCTTTATATAGTGTTTAGTTGTTGGTAAAAATGAATTGAAATGAATCGAGAAAGTGAGGCATAAATCCCAGTACTTCAACCCATGGGAAGTGAAAATGTTTCTTGTTTCGAAATGTGCTTGAATAAGCAGAAAAGCGAACTCATAAAAAGCTCGGACAGTTATGTAAATTTAAAAGCGTTCTGTACTTCTCAGTCGGTTCTCAGTATCGGATCAGTAGAGCCCTGCATGTGTCTTAATGGACGTTATTTGTTAAAGAGAAATACTGTGAAAGAAGCATGGTCAGTTGAGAGATACGTGATGGAAAACAGACAAATAATTTCCTTTCAACACCTACGGATGTATGTTTACGAAATGGCTGGTGACCCCATAACAACATGCTTCAAGTTATGCAACAATGCGCATTCAAGAGGATCACTTTTTATAGTCAGACAATCTCTTTTAAGACCATTTTCGTTTGTTCACAGTTAACACGGTGGTGTATCTGGTTTACTCACAATGAAATTGTAAACCGTTGCTACATGTAGCTGAAAGTCATGTAATTTGATCCACTTGCGGACTTGGCAAATAAAAACTCCCGATGCTAGCTCATTTGGGAATATTGTCTGCAGTCAAGAGCTATACTTGGGGTTACGGTATTGGTTCAACATGAACATGGATCGTTAGTTTCACCGTCCAAGTTTTTTTCCTTTAATTTCGTAACCGTGTTTTTGGCCATACAAATCCATGGCCAAACTCAGTAACAAATATGGTTTGTTTTTATCTTCGAATTCATGTTATCAAAATATTCGAAGTTTCTAGTTCCGCATTATTCAAGTATATTGAGCGATCTGGTTCTGGTTTGTTCCGTTCTTTGGATTGAAACTTTGTTTTCCATGTGAATTTGTTTAGTAAATTAAAAATTCCGTTTTCAGGAATAATAATCTTTCCATATGCGTGTGGATTTTCCTTCAATCATTAAGTTCTTACAAGGTACCGAGTCGAAAACCTTTAACATTTTAACGTCCATCTCATTTTTTTTTGTTTGATAGAAAGCTTTTGACGAATTGATCAGGAAAAAACAAGATGTTACAAGTAATGGAGCTGTGCTGTCATCCATTGAAGACTCTTTGAGAGAAAGCATTGAATTGCTTGGAAATCGAATTCATATCTAGCTCAGAAATTGGCACTATACTATGCGACAGATTCATTAGGGTTGTTGTGATTCAGATTTATTAAGGACCCATTAAGTTTCGTTAACGTTAATAAAACTAGGCTATTCAGCCTAGGTTATGCCCCCTCTCTTGGACTGCCGCCTTGCCGTGGTAGAGGGGCTTGTGTGTTTCTATGATCCTGAGAGCTTAGCCGGTGGAGGCGTCGCCTCTGGCAGGTACAACCAAACCGGAAAGATCAACGGGAAGATTCCAGACCAAAGTGCAGTCACCAAGTACATATTCAGTTGTATGACAAGAGCTTATACCCTTGCGTTCATCACAATGGATATCAGTGGACTTATATATTAATGTATCATACCAGTATCGAAATAGATTGTTATATTGGTATATTGTACTTTACTGTAGTGTATATACTGTATTATACTGTAGTATATATTGCACTATACTGTATCACATTGCTGTAGAATTGCCACTTGCCTGAAAGATTTTCTTCTAGAAAATGTAAAAAGGGAAACATAGAAATGTAATAAACTGAAGCAAGGTTCATTTAATCATTATTTTTGTCATCCATACTAAGGGCCACACCGTTCAAGTTGAAGCGATGGGAAGAGCGAGTACGTAGATGAACCCTCCTTTCCTGGGTTCTCGTTAAAGGTCCCTTTCGAAGATAGGCTCCTGTGCCCTGAACAAGCCGGATACGATATCAATTTCGATGTGAGGTGTTAATAAATTTCTTATTCTTAACGCACTTGTCTCGATCATCATGAAACGGCGGCCGAACATTTTGTTTGAAAGCTAAAGTCAAACGTCACTGATCACTTTAATAACAAAATATATACCACGCAAAAATTGCCATTTCTTCTCCCCTTTTTTGTGTTTCCCACACCTTCATTTAGATCATAGGTGAAAATATGGTAGACCTTTTATGGACTTGATAATTAACCTGCTAAAGAAACTGTTCATTTAAATTTGAATCTCGGCTTGCATAGCAACTGTAACCATTGAAACTGTCAGTAGGCTGGTAAGAGCACGTGGTTGAAAGGCTTGCTCTCATGCCGAAGACTGAATTGATCGTCATAAAAATTTATTCCATCTTCTCCTCTTTTAAAATCTTCTGCTACGTTTACGTTTTGTGTCTTGTGTCTTTGCTGTTAGTTACGAACTTGGAAAGCTAGTTTTAACTTTTCCTTACCTCTAGAGATTTNCGTGGTGGAGGGGCTTGTGTGTTTCTATGATCCTGAGAACTTAGCCGGTGGAGGCGTCGCCTCTGGAAGGTACAACCAAACCGGAAAGATCAACGGGGAGATTCCAGACTAAGGAGCAGTCACCAAGTCCATACTCAGTTGAATAACTTATTCCTTGTGCTCGTCACAATGGATATCAATGGACTTATTACATCATAATAGTGTTGTTATATATTTTATTATACTGTATTAGTATATCTTGCACTATATTGTATTATATTGCTGTACAGTAGCCATTTACCTAAATATTTTTCGTCTACAAAATGAAAAAAGGAAAATATAGAAAATGTAATAAACTAAAACAAGCTTCATTTGTCACCGTTGAAGTTGGAGAAATGGGAAGAGGGAGAGGCGCGGATGAAACGTAAAAAAAATGATACATGTAATGCTTTGTTCTAAGAAGTTGTCTGTTATCCTAGTGTGTAATTACAAAGAGGATGAAGGTGAACTAACTTCAGTACCCAAAACCATAATACGTTAATTGTTTTCAAACATGCTTGAATAAACAGAAAAAGAAACCTTTCAAGAGGAAAACAGTTATGCAAATTTTGAAGGCTTTTGTAAATATTACAAAGACGAATCCTATCGTTCGAGGACGTGATTTGTTACGTTAAGAAAGGAAAATCTTTTGCCATTTAAATACTTCATGATTCTTGAAGGGAGCTAGCTCAGCTGAGAGATAACTGATGGGAAATAGTGGTAATGGTAGTGGTAGTGGTAGTGGCAGTTGCAGTGACAGTGGTAGCGATAGCGGTAGTGAGGAGGTGGAAGTGGAAGTGGTAGTGGTACTGGCAGGGATAATGGCAGGGG